TTACAGTGCAGTAGATCTCCACACTGATTTCACATGACCGAAAGCCTATCTTGCTTTCCAGATCCTGGTTTTGACATCCTCATCTGTGCCTGGGTCGCGTGTAGTTGAAACGATGTTGCCTATGTAAGTGAAAGAGATTATTTTCTTTACGTCTCTCCGTTGATGGTGATTGGTGCTTGTTGTTGATGGTGTTGTTGGTTGGGTATCTTCATCGCCTCCGTCTTCTCTATGTTCACTTGAAATCTTGTCTTCGCTGTCTCTTCTGTCAACTTGTTAGTTTTCGCCTGTAGATCTTCGAGTTTGTGTGACAGGACATTGGACATAAATCATCGTGGAGGAAATGCAAATCATATTGTGGGATGTTTTCATGTGTCCAGGTAGCGTATGTGAATCTTCTTACTCGTCAGTGTTTGCTGCATGATCCAGTCGATCACAATCAGGACGATCATGTTGATAGTAGGCTAATAGCGTTTATAAATTTGTGGTAGACCGGAAGTTACATTATCCAAACATGTATATGATAATTTGATGTGTTCTTCTACATGAATGATTCCGCAATATCAAAACGCTGACATCATCATGTTTATGAATTCTTTATGTACTGGTCATTCCAGTTGACGATAACCTACATATTATGTCTAATTTATTAGAGTCAGACATCATATTGACAAAGAAACTTCCAGCGAACAGCAGTGACATCATTAAGGCCGTAAAAGTTCGACCAGAGAGTACTTACTTCACATATAAAGGAAAACTATACAAGCAAACTGACGGTGTTGCTATGGATTCACCTATTTCAACCTTAATTGAGTTAACCTATTTATGATTATCTTGACTCACTTACTGACGATGAAATCTTCACTGAGATATACTGATGACACATTCCTAATTTTAAAACTTGACTCATACCACACATTCTTAGATCAACTGAACTCGAGATCTACCAGTCTCAATATCAGCCCAGAAAAAGAAACGAATAAAGGGAAACTACCTTCCCTTCATTGTCTTGTTAAATGGAAATAAAGTGGATATTTAGGTAAAATGATTTTCAGGAAAACAGAGTATTCGAACTAATATTTACATTTCAATTGATCACATCCAGTGAGTGCGAAAGTTTCTGTTGCCACCTCCAGTCTTTAATCGAGAGCATATGCTCTAATAATAGATGAATTAAAATACGTGAACATGCTACTTAAAATGAATAACTACCCGGTGAGGTTCATTTGAAAAGTAGAAAATTACATTAAATTAGATAGTAGAACTACTCCTAAATCATGGACCTCAATAATAATCCTGATCCCATACAGATCACATAGATCAAATGAAATTAGTACAGTATTGAACAAATGCAATCAGTATCAGAGTGTTCTGCATTCATAATGTAATTGTTCTCAAACTGTGAAGTAAAATACATGGGACAAACTTCGTGTGAAATCAAATTTTGGAAAAATGAACACTGAAGAGCTTCCACCCAATCCCTTAGAAATTCAATGAGACTGAAAAAACTTGAAAACACATCAGCCATAGCTCTATATACTATAATTTCATTTCACAATGTCAACTCATTAACAATATCGAAATTATTCAGAAAGGTGAGTTTAGAAATTATAAAGGGTGTCTCATAACAAAATCTCTTCATATGAAGTGGAATCAAAATCATCTAAATAGGAATGAGGTAATAAAATATAGTTTAACCTAGTCTCAACCCATCCCCACATACTGACACAACCGACATACATACACGATGAGAACCATCGACACATATGTGTACATTCGAATGTCAATCTGTAATTCATATATAGAACATACTATATCTTTGTTCAACAATTCGAGAATGCAGAACCACTCAGCCAGGAAAACACATATTGGGTTATCATATATATATATATATATATATATATATATATATATATATATATATATATATATATATACAAATACTGAACCAATGAATATCATTTATATTTCAAGAGGGTTGTGGGGATTTAGAAATATTTTCAAGTCAGTATTCATCGTAGACTGACATCAGTTGGAGGAATAATGGAAACCTGGAAGCACTGGACAACTGTTTCATCCAACCCAGTGGCTTAACGGTAACGTGCTAATCACGGAACCTGAAGGTCACTGGATCGATCCCTGGGGGGGGGGAGGTTGTGGGTGCGCACTGCTGAGGAGTCCCATACTAGGATGAAACAGGTGTCCACTTCCCTCCGGTTTTCAGTGTTCCTCCAACTGATGTAAGTCCACCATAAATACCAACTTAAAGAATCAATAAGTATTTAACGTCTGCAGCAACTCATGAACATTGAGACAAGTTTCTTCTGAACACTAACTGACTATTCATAAACATTGATCAAAATGGTCGATCGTAAGTAACGCCACATACACGAAAGTCATCATTAGTCATATCTTCTAGCAGGAATCCCTGAATGTAGTAGAATGTGCATGTAATCACCGTCAGACACCTTTCACTTCTGAAAGTAGAACCAACTTCGTTAAATTGTTCACACTGAAAGTAACCATTTGAGCCAGATAATTTGCAACTCGACGACATGAAGAAGTTGGTACTAATTTTACTGATTCACTTTTGATGACAGAATATGCAGTGATGATTTCACTGTCTTTTAAACTTATTGGTTGTACGTTTGTAAATCCTGTTGAAGGTGATGAGTACGAAGTTGTCCTGGGTGTTATTTTCATGCTTAATGTCAATGATATGGAAACACTGTGTGGAGTATCGATTGAGTTTATGTTTCGTAGGAGTTATTGAGTATCCTAATGGGTTAGACTGGATATATATCATGAATGCCATTGGGTTTAAGCATTTAGTAATATACATTTATGTGAAAGTAATGAGTGTTTAAGTAAGATAATCATGTATGCTGAATTTAACCACTAAAAGGTATCAGCAAGATGACGGCAATTTCATGCAAATTTTGAACTATTTTTCTGTAATTTGGAACGAATAAGATTACCTTTCTACACCTACTCTAAAAAGTGTGATCAAATGTGCTGAAATCATAAGATATCCACAGTTTTTTTTTGGCATACATGCATGAACTAGAAAATCACAAACCAGAAATATGAAACCAGGAAAAAGATGGTGATATCAGTGTTTATTAGAAACTAAACACACTCCAACAAAAACTTAGATTACGTATCGTCTCACCCTGTATCTGTCATGACTGACTTAGTAATCAGGCTAGGAGTTTGACTTGTAAACCAGAAAACTTAAACAAGGAAATGAAACACCCAGGAGAGACACTGATACTTATCAACTACCCTCCGAAATTCATTAAAAAGTTTATATGGACTGATAACAGAAAGAGTGATAATGTTACTGGTGATTGCAATAGACCTAAGCAAGAATTCAAATCCTCTGTAGTATTGGAATACAAAGAAGGTACATTGGAAATTTTACTTAGAATACTGACTGGATTAGGGTGGCCTTTAAACTCAGAGACTAACTTTGTAGACTGGATGATCTAGTAGAGCCATTTTTTGTTTAAAAAAAAAGTGACCCTAATCTATGAAACACAGTATAGTGATTGTGAGGTCGTGCATATGGATCAAAGTAGGTGATCGGGATCATTTTAGGCTAGTGAAGCACAAGAACTCATAACATACTAAGAAAATTGATTTAGAGATAAATTTGGCTATTACTTTGTATTCATTGACTGATAGTCACACTATTGTGTGAGATAAGGTGACAGTTCTAAAACCCAGTTAGCTAGGTGGAGGAAGAGATCGATGATGTAATCGTTGTTCATTGAATTAACACCCGGTACATGTAACGAGGAAGATTCATTATCACACATTTCAGATATTTGGAGATTTTTGTCACCATTCAAATGAAAGAATAAGGAACTATTGGACTATACAAGTGGAGTATAGATGTATAATCACTCTTATATGAATATGGGAAATAAAAATGTGCTCTATGATAGCAAATAAACTGATGTAATATGGAATGCCCATATACCTGCACGGACTGATCATACAAGATCGATAAACTAAACACCGGAAAGTATGTAAAGTTCAGGAATGTTCGTACACTTAACTTTGTAGCCAGACTTTACATTCGCACTCGGTGGATTTCAGACAAACTAAAAATTTACTCAAACATCATTCATTGAAGTAGAGCTACATTCAGCTGATGAGTCATAAACAGGACGAAACACGCGTCAATATAAACTTTAAAAAAAATATAACTATGACGGTAGGAACTACTATGATGCTAATTTCGGTGAGATTTTCCCAGTTCAAGTGATTTTTTGTCACCCGGTTAGCTCATAAAGGTGTTGAAGTGAATAATGGGAAAAATGGATTGGCTTAACAAATGATTTGTCTCCATTTGGTAGACATGGATGAAAACAGAGTCATTTCAGTAAGAAACTTGTTAAAAAGGTATGAATATTTTGTGATTCAGTTAGTTTCATATTAAGCTTATCAATCGATTAAAGGGCATAGAAATCAGTCTTTCAGTAGTACTCTACGTCTACCAGAGACTTACTGAGAGGATCACTTCTCATCTCTTCATCGACAATGCACATTCACTTATCGATTAGAACTTAAATCAGTTTCATTATGCGTGATTAAATACTGCAATGATGAGGTTTAATAGGAGTGAAAGGTATTTATAGCTTTTTATGTGGAATGATCCTAAGATGTGTCATCCGTTATTCAAGTGAATACGAACCAGTTGCTTGTGAAGCCTCATGATAGGAAGGGCCGAACTAATGACTCAATACTGGAATATAGGCATCTATGCGGATTCCTCGTTATTTACTTACTAGTGAATAACACTGAAGTGACTGATTCTAGGTTCGAGTTTAAGTGGGGACAACATTACTCACTAGGAGTCAGGTACGTCCAGATGACATGTCCCAACAAGAATTAAACGCACTATTATACATATGGAACCAGAAATTTTAAAAAAATCCTGTAAACTGTCCTCAATAAAGAAACCAAACATTCAAGGTAAGAAATTATCAACCTACCTTTAAGGTCACCACTTATAGTGGTAATTGACTGACTGACGTCTTGTTGTGTCAGTTGATTCGACGAGTCACCGTTTATTCTTCTGTTTGTTTTTTCTTCAGATGAACTTTTATTAACTCCATTATTAACAGATAACAGTACTGTAGGAGATCTTGTTGCTGGGGCTTTTGTCTTTTTAGTAGTTATCGGTATGTGAGACATAAGGGTGGTTATAGTAGTTTCTGTTGGTCTCGCTAAAATCAAAGGAATCTGTGGTGTTTTCAATCCAGCTGTTTTACACGAGAATCCCTCGATCCTCTGGTAACCATTCGCAGCATTATTGTTGATGTTCAAATTGTCTGATCCAAGCCAAGCGTTTGTTAAACTTGGTATTGTATATTCATAGAATATATGACCTTGTTGTGTAACAACTGTACGACATTTTACTAATCCTAATTCTTTTTCATATGGACACTTGCCTGGATTTTCACCAACACAAGCTGATTGACAATTATGAAAACAAAATTTACCCCATGGTGCAATTGGACATAGAAAAAACATACTATAACCACTAAGGATATTTTTGTTTGAATCAGAGCGTTCACTGTTCAATGTATTGACTTCACAACGTATAATTAATGGTTCATTGAGGAGTACTTGATCTGAAGGTGGAATAAAGCTGATTGTCAGTGGTGTATCCGATTCAATGTCCAATGTCTTGGTATACACTGGAAGTATGATAACACCATAGATAAGTGTTAAGATAATCGTAATTATTTCCAATTTTGAATTGACTGACCGTACTCGTGAAGGAAGCATAGTGTTTCACTAGATTTCTTTATTCACTCAGTTGTTCAATGAATTAATTATCTTGTTCAATTGTGTAGGCTTTTTAAAATGAAATGAATCTATGCAAAATGCATATTGTCTTGCCTTGGTGATAAAATAATCCATTAGGCATTTGATTAATCCATCCCCGAGGTTACTAGATAAAAGTGTAGTTCCCTTTTCTTGAATAAAAAGAGATGGTTTTTCCAATTTTGTGTCTAGGAGGTGGTAGCAGCAATAAAAATAGTAGCCCGACAAAAAAGAGTTTCACATGTTATTCATACTAACAACAACATTTGTATGATGGTAATCTGTTAAAAGTGTTAAAGTTACACAGATGCACACATACACACATGACTACGCACCATCATAATCATTGCATGCTTGGAGTTAACCAATCACTGGTGAGTGTAGAAAAAGGATGCGTGGGTGGCCGGTATACCATTAGTCGCAAACACCAGGAATGAAGATTTTGGCAGCAGGAAAGGAATAGACGCTTATTTGAATGAGGTTAGAAGAGAGGAAATCTTAAATCCTTGTGCTTACATACAAATGAAACATTGAATGGTAACAATGTCAAAGCTCGCTACAGAATGAAGTCAACGCTGAGTGTTCCAGATTATGTTCAATTGTTTATACTTTATTTTTATCTTAAAGAGGCTAAATCAGTTTCTTGCCTAGTTTGAGTAGGAATACAATTAAAATTGGCGCACCCCAGGGAAATTTGAGTTGTTCCAAATATACTACTAATAGGCATTTTGAGTAGTGAGAACTCGCTCAGGCTGATTTGTAGGTTGTGCCGGTTGAATGAGAGTGATTGAAACACTTAGGGTCGAGAAATGTTAACTTGGATGGTGGGATTTCTAAATCGTTTAAAAATTGAACATCTCGTTTTAGGTATATTGGTCCATATAAGTCAGCTAGGCAATCAGATTTAGATTATCTAAAGCATTTCTGCTCTATGAGCTGAATTTGGTAGGGTATACCACATATGAGTTAGCTTGGCCATAAACAAGTGAACTGGCCTTCCGTTGTTTGAATCGTTGAGCTGTGTGTGCCGAAATCTTCAAGTGAGCTTCAGTGGTGATGATTGGAGGTGAAACGAAAATTTGGACTGTGGCAGGATCCAAACCGGCGACCACCGGGTTTCCAACCCGATGTTCTACCAACTCGTAGATCAGTTTGTAGAACATCCAGTTGAAATCCGGTGGTCGCCGGTTCGAATCCTGCCGCAGTCCAAATTTTCATTTCACCTTCAATCATCACTGAGTATAAACCCTAGTTCGCCAAATCTGAGCTAGTCAAAAATGATAAAGCTACATTTCTGGGAAATATATGAAAAATTTGGTCATGACATGGTTTCGAACAAATTCTTCATACATCATAGGAAATACAGATTGCCTAGTCTAACTTTAGTGTTAGTTGTTTGAAGGTAATCGGTAGAAAGCCTTGCTTGACAGACGTTTTGTGCTATTTGGTACCCATCAGCAACGTATATCTGCAAACCGTGGGGATGGTGATATTCCCACGGAGATTTGAATCCATATCGATCAGATCTGAGGTTAGCGACTTAGCCATTAGGCAACCCGGGTCACAATCGACATAAGTTGATCATCAGCGGGTGATCTATGTTACTATCTGGATCTTGATGCTTAGTACTGCTCTAACTTTATCGCTAGCCAGACTACTATTCAGCTTATTGAGCTGTATGCATTGAATATGGAACGCTGAAGAAATAGATGGGGTGGGGGAGGGAAATAATTAGATCACTTAAAGAGTTATGTCTACTTATTCAGAAAAATGAAAATTGCAACTAATTTGTAAATGGAAGACTTGGGTAACAACCTTACTTTGAATGTTTGCATTGACTGATTTATTTTAAACTGATACTGATCAAAGAATGATATTAGTTGGCTAATCACTAAAAATCTGAGAACATTGAACAGCTGTTTCGTTGCATAATGGGACTCTTCAACATTGATCGTATTACCTTGTGAATAAACTTATTTTGACCGATTTTATTCTCATAGACTGGTTGGAAAATTATAGTTAGTTCTAATTAGCACTTACGCCAAGCGATAAAACATTTTACACAGTTTATTTCATCATAATTTTTTTAGAAGGTGGAGGTGGATGGAGAATAAAACACACAGTTGCGTATGACATTTGAGAATAGTTTTTAGTGTGAACGAGTAACTGTGACAAAATAAGCGTAGGTTGAAATTAAGGAGATAAGATTAGAGCAGTGCAAGAACAAAGTAATAGTAATGTGAGTAGTAGTGGTGTGAATAGTAGTGTGAGTAGTAGTAGTAGTAGTAGTAGTAGTAGTAATGCAGGTGTCATCTGTGGTGCAGACTGGTGAAATAGCCGACTTGTTAACAAACGACTGTTTTAGCGCGCTGCTCTACAGTTCGTTCTATCCGCCATCTGTGCATGTCAACATAGGGACAGGCATTACTGCGTAACAGTCTGAGTTGACATACCTTATATCACTACATCAAGTAAAAAGGCAGTAAAGTGGAAGATGAAGTAAGGATAATTAACCCAAAAGAAACACAAAGTACTAATCGAGAAAAAGGAAGAATGAGAAAATGTTGAGATTCGGTATAGCGTCGTTAAGATGAGGATAATGTGTGTGGAGATACATCTGCACCACTGACATCGGTTCTCAGTCATGTGATCACCTACAGTCAGTCTCCAACCACTCGTTCCTCTTGTCCTACAGACCCCAACCACCCAGTGTGCAACTCCCCACATGGCTCAAACCAACAGTCAAGGAATTCATACATTGATGCCATGTTTTAGTGTGGCCACCTCGGGCCTTTTTCCAGCCTGATTCTACTTCGGTCAACATTGTGTGACGGAGCGATCGGTGACTAGGCATATGTAACACATGTGCCAACCAGCCATCTCAGTCGATGAAGGTTCACAACCTCATCAACTGATTTACCTCTTCTTCCTAAAACTCTCCATCTGACTTCAGTGTTACTCACAAGGTGACACCACGGAATACGACCTACACTACGAAAGGAAGTTAATTAATACACATTTGGATTTGGAGAGGGAATATAGACAGGGGATTATGAAGCTAAATGTAATTATGCAATACAGGATGAGTGTAGGGCATAATAGGAAAGTAAACAAGGGATTGTGGGAATACCTGTATAGTCGCCTAATACAGGTTGAATCTATGATGGTTAAGGCTATATGATGGTCATGGCAAAGCCAGAGGTAGGACATACCTTCCTGGACGCATAGCCCTGATTTGAAGTTCTGGATGACTGGCGCCTCAGCTACAGACGGATACCTTGATCTTACTCCCTTCGAGTGGTTTGATCGAACCGTGTAAGTAATTTTGAATGAGCTGTGAAAAGAAGCTGTGTGGCTTGAGTTCTTAAGGTATTCTATCATTGATCTTAAGATGCATCTCCGTTGTCCCTTTGCCAAGCTTGCTGGATAGTGTTCGCGGGCGCTTTGTACAAGCGGACGCATGTTACGGTCCATGTACTCAGCTACACAATAACTATTGAATTGGTATATACAGAGTGATGCGACCCAATGCATCAGCTTTTATTTCATACATTGACCTAAACGTTTCTTGCAGGAGAAAATAATTCGAATGTTGGCGGTGAATCAGCTTTTATTCAAGGATCATCACAATCGTTTCCTGAGGATATCAGAAGTAATATTTTTGAACTCAAGACTCAATAAAAGAATCCCTTCTGGCGCCAAATGTGTTCGTTCAGCTGGGTTCTTTGGCTGCATATTCATATCTATGAATGTGATCAGGAAACCGTTTTCCGCTAGAGTTCATCGATGTATTCGCAGTTTTTCATGGATAGTATCCTTAGTACATATTTTTATGATTGTCGAGAATAAGATTTCTATTCTTGCGTAGAGGAACTGAACGTTGAAAGTAAAAAAACTGTCCCTTCCACATAGGCTTTCTATTGATCTACCCACGAAGTGAATTATTGTGTTTTCTTTGGAGTTAAACATCAAAAAATGGAAGGTTGAGTTTGATTCTAATTTTAGAGGGAATTTGGTTGAAGAGTGGGCACTGTTGAAGGCATGAAGCAAGTTTCCAAGATTCATATTTTATTCACAAACTACAAGGGTTACATAAATGTATCTTTTGTAGACATCAAATTCATTGATTGGTGATGATAAGTTGATATTTTCCAGGCTTCTTATGAAGCAGTCAGCTTGGAGAGGTCCGAGTAGAGAATCCATTGCACCACTGTCTATCTGCCTGTAGACCACATTATTAAATCTTAAGTGTATGTTGAAGGTCTGTCCAAGGGGAAGCTCTTTTAAATAGTGAACTGGGGTACCAACATCTATGTTATGACATTGAATGAATTCACGTAGGAAGCAGATGGTTTCTCCCGGTGGGACATTTATGAGGAGAGACACGACATCGAATGAAATCATTCTTTTACCTATCAAATTCACATTCTTTATTGAATCAACAAGATTAAATGTGTCACGGAGACTGCGGTTCAACAGCTTCTTCTTTACACGTTCCAGTATTTTCGCAAGCCATTTCGCGATTAAATGATATGGAGAATTGATCATACTTAGTATTGGACGGGGTGGAACACCTTCTGGGAAGACCTTCTAAACGGGGGATCGTAGAACCCAATAGGCGAAGTTATTCTTAATGATTCATCTCTCATTTTCTTCAGTATTTTCGACAATTGCAGCTTTGTTTACTCGGTAGGAAATGCTTGATGGTGACAGTTTCGCAAACCCTAATAAATATGACGCTCTTTGCTTCTTAATTATCCTAAAGGATTGAGAAATGTCTATTTGATATCATGTTTCCACTAGGTGATTGTTGTGCTAAAGACCTTTTCAACCATTTGAAGACAGATTTCTTGGTTGCATTGTGTTCTCTGAACTAGGTTGTTTAATCGTGGAGCTTTCATCATCTTTCTAGACGACATCACTCCGTGAGTGATTTAGTAGCTTGATTGTTATGTCATTGA